AGTTTCGAAGCTGTCCTTACATGCCAAGTGCTGGGCCTACAGGTGTGGGCCACCCTACACAGCTCCAGTTATGTGTTTACTTTCAGACCCCAGTGCTATCTATTAGCACTCTACCTCTCTATCTTGAGCTTGGTAACCACTTGCTGAATGGGATACTTGCTGTGAGATTCGATTTACATGTTAGCCCAATTCACTGTTTCAGCCACACTCTCAACTTTCCTTCCTTCGTGGAAAGGAGACATGTATAAACTGTTAGGATCCTCTCTTCTAAAAGAGGAAGGGGAGGTGGTGGGTGGAACACAGCCACTGCAGTGGGAGTGCTTCAAACAACTCCAGAGTCATTGGCACCCTATCTCTAAAGCCAGTCATCTAAAGGAATCTGACTGAGGGGCTGGGTACCAATTCAAAGGACCTAAGGTTCAATGTTGATGGAACTTGTTTCTTACCATGCTTGGGAGCAGAAGTACTTCAGATTTTAAGATATCTCCACAGACCCAACAGAGCATCTCTTATCTGAATCTCTGAAATCTGATATGTCTCAAATTCCAATACTTTTTGGAGACATTACATCAGTGTTCAAGTTTTAGGTTTTGAAGTAGTTTAGATTTTCAGATTAGGGAAACTCCATTTACATTTGAAGCTCTTATGTATTTGGAAATAAAAATCTCAACAATATGAGCCAAAGTCATGTGAGATAAAATAAAGATTAGTTATTATTTTTAAATACAATTAATTACTTACCCATCTAAAATCCTTCCCATCAAATTTACGGGCATTTGTAAATAAAACAGTTCTAGCTGGCATGTTAATTCCCATAGCAAAAGTCTCTGTGGCAAATAAGGCCTAAATAAAGAAGGAATTTATATAATTAGTTAATGGATTTTAAGGTAAAAACTGTCATAATTTCTAAGATTAAATAAAGCTAGTATTAATTTCTAAATTTAGTTTTTTAATGAAGCCAAAAGTAAGTGGCAAGATGAATTCTAGACCCATTAAATAATACATATCACATAACATTACATAGTATAATAGCCATAACTACTGAATAATAGATATTGCAATATTACATAATGTAATAGACATATCTATTAAATAATACTTGATTTCCTTTACACTTGCCACACTTATTAATTGAGGGAACTCAGTCTTCCTTACAGCCCAGTGCAATCAAATGGAGAGGACACAACTGGACCAGTGGAAAGATGAGGCAGTGGAACATCCAACTAAACACGGCCAACTTTCCTGGCGTTCTCACGGGAAATAAACTAGTTCTGAAGATCACTTCACAATTAAGTTTCTAGGGCAGTACAGATTCATGACTACTGAATTCTAAGCCTTTATAAACAAAAATAGTTGATTTAGGCAAAGTTACAAGTCAATAAGGTATTAAATATTCATCAGCAGGAAAGATAATACTTCATCAACTCAAAGGAATACTAGTCACTAAAAAAGGAACCATCCATATGCCAAAACAACATTGGTGATATAATAAACTTTGTTTGCAAAAAAGTCGTATGTTTGAATGTATGCTAGTGAACATTTCTGGGAAATAGGGAGCAGGATGAACTTTCTTCTTTTATTTTATTTAAAACTATTTTACTTGAATTCAACAGCCTGTTATTATCTCTAATACTCTTGAAAAATTATCCACTAATAGTTAAGCTTAGCAAAATTTATAATTTATAGAAGAACATCAACATGGACTTACTACAGTACTAAGACTTCATTAAAATACTTAAGTATTTCTTTTAAATATTCTTCATAAGGCTGAGGACTCTCAGGTAAAACACACA